ACGCGTCGCGGGAGTATCGAGAGCGTTGGGGGATACAAAGCGATCGAGAGCCGGGAATATCATGACAAATTCTCCGAGTGGAAAAGTTCATCGGCAGTTGACTCGGGACAATGCCGCGCCGTCCCAATTCATTACAGGAGGATTCGAAGTTGCAGACGAGAACGGGGGAGAGATAATTCGCGATACTGCCGACAACATAGCCGTCGATATAGCGGGATTCCAATTCACAAAGCCCTCTCTCTCTCTCTCTCTCTCTCTCTCTCTCTCTCTCTCTCTCTCTCACTTTCCCTCTCTCGTCGGCCCTCGCGGTCGCGTCAAGAGAGACGCGACTGCAGCTGCTGAGTGCAAAATTGACTCGTTCACACTCTGACGGAACATTGTTATCACCGCGACCAGCCATATATAAATTAATCGAACTATACGTCTTTGCGAAGCGTTCGAAAAGCCAACGCGAGCTCGCCCGCGAACGGCTATGTGAATATCTCCATCAGCCTTGCAGCGTCACGTCTAGAGCGCATCGTCGTTGTATTTCCGCGAGATCGGCCAAGAGAGAGAGAGAGAGAGAGAGAGAGAGAAAGAGAGAGAGAAAGAGAGAAAGAGAGAGAGAAAGAGAGAGAGAGAGAGAGAGAGAGAGAGAGAGAGAGAGAGAGAGAGAGAAAGAGAGAGGAGAAGAGAAGGAGAGACGGCAAGGCGAGGAAAGGGGGTGGAAAAATAGAGGGATAGAGGGAGAGAGAGAGAGACGTCGAGGCTCGCGTCGCAAGCCCGGGACATGAATAAGCCAACGGGCAAAGGTGTGGTTCCCAGGCGTCCGCGGTAGGAAATCGCTCACTGGGGAAGAAAGATGGAGAACAGAAGCCAGGAGCGAACCAAGACGTGATTAATATAAAAGTGGGCGGAGCCTGGTCTGGCCGGAAGTGGCCGAAGAGGGATGCTGTGCCGTGCCAAGCAAGCGCGAAAACGGGGGGGTTATGCCGTCGCAGCTGTGTTAGCTCCCGCTGCACTTCGTCCGTGTATGCACCGTAGGTGTGTGTGTGCGTGTGTGTGTGTGTGTGTGTGTGTGTGTGTGTGTATGTATGTGTATGTGTGTGTATCCGCGCGCGTATTCTGCACGTACGTCTGAACCAGCGGAGGAGGTGAGAAAATGGGCGAAGCCACCAAGGTGGCGGGGATGATGCGAAATATATATCACGATTGACGCACACCACCCTCTGCCGCCTGGTGTCGGCCTGGTCGTCCCGGCGCGACCATGAAGAAGGCGTGACAGCCAGGCCGAAGTCACCAGCCGTAGCTACGACGCGATTCCCGATTCTCTCGCGGCTCGCGGAGGCCAGCCGGCCTGTATCGCGCACAAAACACTTCCCGACGGCACAGAATCGATCAAGCGCGGAATACGCGGACGCGCACGGTGGGTTATCGCGCGACGCCCGCTGCGCGCGCGCGCGCGCGCGCGCTGCTACTTAAATACGTGTCTTCCTCATGGTCCGCCGTCCGCCGCGAACGAAGCTCGCCTCGCCTCGCCTCGCCTCGCCTCGCGCGGCCGCTCACACAGCCCGGCTCTCTCTCTCGGCTCAACTGCTGGCCTGGCCTGGCGCCGCGCGTCTCCCGCGCTCTCGCCGGGCTGATCTTCGAATTTTGAAGAAATCGACGGTCAGCCGGAGGAGAAGCCGGAGAACCAGATGGCCGCGCGCCGCCGGCAACTTTCGTCGGTAGAGGGTGCCGAAGAGCAGGATGGGTCGGCTGATTGGCGAATATGGGATCGAAGAGATCCGGGGGGGCACCGGCGCGGGAGGACCGGCTGGGGCAGGGGGGGAAGGGGACGGGGGAGGTAACTCCCGGAGACGCGGGGTGTAAGGGTTGTGACGTGCGGGGGTGGCCAACCCCACCCGCTTCTTTAACGCCCCCAAGCAGGGTAGGACCGCCTCCGTCTCTAGTGTTCCACCTACTACACCACCCGGGACTTCTACGGTCTCTCGTAGACCAACCACCCACACACAACCCTCAACGGGAACCCCCGACTACTCCTATCGGCTATACACTTCTGAAAAAATCACCCCTATTCCCAGGTAACATGGAGCGTTCCCCGATTGAAGCGTAACTGCCGTCGCCCTCCCGTCTCTCTCGCCCCTTCGATTGCGCGACGATGCCATCTCCGATGTTTCGTGCGAACGAGTGGAAGGAGCGGATGATCCCGGTGTCGAATTTAAAGGCCGATTGTCACTGTAAACTCGAGTATCGGCTGCGCCGCGTTCTTTCGCGGGAATTACATTACGTTCCCCGCTAAAATTACATGCAGCGCCGGCGATCGCCGTCGCGCAGCGAGCGCTCAGCGGCGAACCGGATGGAAAGCATCTTGAAAGAAGCGCGCGACCGGCCCGATCCCCCGCGGATCGTCTCGTGCCGACGAACATCACCCCCCCCCTTCCCCCCCCCCGGTGGTTGTCTTATAATATGTTTATGATTTGGAGAAAAAAAGCTCGAGAAACGCGGCAGTGTCAGCACTCTCGGCTAAAGTCTCTCGAAATAGAAGCGCGACGGCGCTGCTCCTCGCTGCGCTAAACTAAACTAAACGACTCGACGTGGCGACACGTGTTTGTTTTATCATGCGTTTTGTCCGTCCACAGACGGACATTCTAAATACTGTCATCGCGCGCCATCGGTGATGGCGGAATTTGCATGGCGCGACTCGAAAAGCCGGATGCTACCGGTGATTATAAGCAGCAGACGCCGCACCGTTTCACAATGTGGCCAACGCGCCTCGCGCAAAGTGGTCGGGCTGCAACGCGCGCGAACGTGAGCGATGATCACTGAGATCTCTCCATTTGATCACTTTGTTTGAAGTTGGTCGCGTGGTAGCAAAGTCCTAGCGGCGGAACGTACGTCACGCGGCGGTTGCGTGACGGCCGGCGAAACACGAAATAGGAATTTTTGTCAGCCTGTCAGAGGCATTTCGAAACAAGTCGTTGGACTTCCTCAGCCAATGGCGCACGGTGATTCATACGATATTAGATTACTCGGGACTCCAGGCGGTTTCAAAGACGGCGCGCCGCTGCCAAGATTATTTTCGGAAAAATGCGCTTTAGCGCAAAAGCTTTCTGTAGCACGGCAGGTACGTATTTAGTGACTCGAGCGTAGTTAATCTTGGGTCGGTGTAGTGAGATTTATTTGACCAGCCATTCGGCTTGTCCGGCGCGCCTATTTGTCTTGTCACGATCGTTAAAGTGTCATTTCCACGAATATCACTGCGGCCGGCAGAGGCCCGCAAGATCAATCGGGAAATCTCTCGAAGCAAAGAACATTTGTCTGCATTACGCGAACGTCGCGCTTAATTTGTTTAACATTAGCCGAAGAATCATCATTCAGCGCGCTGAATCATCCGCGCATCTTGGCAGCTGTTTGCCGAGACGATAACGCGATAACGCGTCGTTCTGCGAGCCGATCCACCGGTACCCGGCTGTTTTGGCAGCGACACCTTGCTCACCGTTGTCGAATCGAGAGAGGAGGGAAGCGGGTGATGCGAGATATTTAGCGGACGATATTCTCGCGGCACGCGAGCGTGCGCGCGCAAACCGAAACCTCGAAAAGTATTCGATGTATTTAAGTCGAATGTGTGTCTATGTGTGTGTGTGTGTGTGTGTGTGTGTGTGTGTGTGTGTGTGTGTGTGTGTGTGTGTATGAAAGTCGAGCGAGGCTGTAAATAAGGAATGACAGATACCGTCGAACGCGCGTTTCTTGCAAGACTGATCGATTAGTCTGAAATTTGTACCGCGCTATAATCTCCATTCGCGTCCTGGCTATTTTCGTCACGACCTAAATTCGATTAAAGTAAATCGCGCGAAATACCCGCTGCTTTCGCGTACACCGTCCGTGCTCTCGCACCTCTATAAATCCCGATGTCCATATTTACAACGTAATTTATAAGATTAATAGCGACGGAACCGTGCCACGCACTCTAGGATGCCTCAAGCTCAACGGTAGCTCATCGAACTTTGGAATACACACACACACACACACACACACACACACAGTCGCATAACGTAAATTCTAAAATATACGGAGGCCCACAGGCAGAGGACTGTCCATGAATTCTCGGACGACTTGAACCGATGTAATTGCGTTACTTGACGCAGTCTTAATCAGCGATACGACAAAACGCACTGTAAGACAATAAGAAGAGGAGCGCGAGCAGAGTTGCGGAAAGAGCGTGCGGAAACGACGTGCGTCGTGGTGAGACCGAGCTGCTAAACAATCACACGTAGCGACGAGGGGAGCGAGGAGACACAAAAGTGACTGTCTAAGCTTGAAGCTAAAACACGCTTCTGAAGCTGCAGGCCCGTCGGGACAATGTCCCGAAACTCGATCGAGAACATGTCTATCCTGGCCGGAAGAAGCTACATTCCAGAGACACACGAGCAAACGAGGGCTCCGCGCGATTGTACCTTCAGCACGAATCGAAGCGAAGAGTGATAAACCGCGTACAAAAGAGTGCGCGCCCAACGGGAAGCGTATGAAAGGAAAACTGCAAATTGGAGTAACAGTGCGCGAAGGAGAGCGCCGATGGCACGTGGCTGTCACCGGTCTGACGGCGGGTGCAGCACGATGCAAAGAGAGCGCGGGTGGTAAGGGTGGCGAATACGAAGCCGGTGACAAAAAGTGTGACAGCTATAGCGAGACAGGCAAGCGATCGAGCGGAGAATGAGAGAGAGAGAGAGAGAGAGAGAGAGAGAGAGAGAGAGAGAGCCAGAGGGAGAAAGACAGAGAGAGAGAAAGAGAAACAGGGGGATAAGAATGAGAGAGAAACAGAAACATTTAGTAACATTCACACGTAGAAAGCGAGAGAGAGAGAGAGAGAGAGAGAGAGAGAGAGAGAGAGAGGTAAAGACAGGCAGAGGATATTTCTATGACGCAAGTGCATTAAGTGAACGAGCATTCGCAGGCAGGCATCTGACATCGGATGACATAGGCAGTGCATTGAAGAGGTGTTGCAGGGTGAGTAAGGCTACCTGGACGGGTCTCCAGCGTGGTTCCAGCATGTCCCGCTTCCTCCTCGCCGACTCGCTCGTGACCGTCGGTTCCTCCGTCCTTCTTTACGTGATAAGATTGACAAGAAAGAAACAGAAGGAAGATACGAGGAGACTCCGTTTGCTTCGCTTTCGTCAACTCCTCTTTCCCGCCGGTGCGTAGCTGCTCTCTCCTCGTGCTCCGTTTCTTTTCCTCTCTACCCTCCTCTCCTCCCGCCCGCCCCCTCTAGATTTCTGTCTCTCTGCCACCTCTCTCCCTTTTTCGCCTCTCTCCTCCCCTGCACCTCTATGTTGCTCTGCCTCACTCACTCTCTCTGTCTCTCTCTCTCTCTCTCTCTCTTTCTCCCCTCACTCCCTCTGTCGTCCTCACGCCCTTCTCTCTCGCGACTTTTCTAGCTTGTGCTTACTACCCTACCCACCTATCCGTCTACCTATCTATCTGTCTTTCTTTCGAAGCACCGCGTGCCGCACGCGCCACGTGCACCGTCACGAAGTTGAAGAACGATGCCGGCTCTCGTCGAATGCCGTCGAAGTTGACGAGCGACCCCGATGAAAGGAGAGCTACCGATTTCCCGAAGACGCAGATTTCTCTTTTCCACCCTTTCCCTCTCCCTCCCTCTTTCTTCTTTTCTCACGCTCTCTCTCTCTCTCTCTCTCTCTCTCTCTCTCTCTCTCTCTCTCTCTCTCTCTCTCTCTCTCTCTCTCTCTCTCTCTCTCTCTCTCTCTCTCTCTCTCTCTCCCCCTTCCGCTCCCTCCCTCTTTCTCACTCACTCACTCTCTCTCTCTCCCTCCCTCCCTCTCTCTCTCTCTCTCTCTCTCTCTCTCGCTCTCACTCTCCGGGGGTGAATGCCGGAGGGGGTTGGAGGCGGCGGGCGGCCGCGGAGGACACCCTCTCTCTTTCTCTCTCTCGCAACCTGAGGCAACGTTCCCTCGCCGTCGTGGAGGACAGGCAAAACGTGCGCCGAACGTCGGTGCGGGGTTGCGTCTGGTTTGAAGAAAAGGGGGTATACCGCGCGCCGGTGGCTGCCGTCGCGACTGTGCGACGCTCGGCACCGCTTAGCCGCGAAACCCTCCGGCCGCGGCGAGCACGCGGCTACTGAGTCGGCGCATTGTGAGGACCATCGCGGCGTCTCGCTCCCGTCGACGTCGCGCAGAGTCTCCCTCCGTTCGACGGCCTCCTCTTCGTCTCTCCAGCACCGAGCGTCCTCCTCGCACGTGTGTTACCACGGCACTCTCGCAGGGTGACCCTCCGTCTCCATCTAGACGGTTCGCGCTCTCGTGTTCTCTCCCTCTCTCTCCCTTTCTCACTCTCTCTCTCTCTCTCTCTCTCTCCCCCTCTCTCTCTCTCTTTTTTCTGTCTCTCTTTTCCCCTCTCCTCTCTCTCTCTCTCCCTCGTTCGGTTAGCGTGGGTGTTTCTTGGCTCTCCGGAGAGAGGCAGTCCTGTCGGTTGCGCCGCAGCGCGCTTCGCCGAGCATCGTCCGGCGTGCTGATCCACACGGTTGTGTTTTCCAATTTGTATAGGAATTTTAATTTTCTTTTTCTTTTCGTGCAACTTGTCCCGTATGAGCTGCGTTTTTCACGGCAGCAGGGTGTCTTTGTGAATTTTTCAATTTTTTGATTGTTCTCCTTTTTTCTTATTCTCTACTCACTTAATCTCGTATTGTTCATGCCATAGTCTCAGAAGTGGATGGCTTTGGGTCCGGTCTCTTTCGGATGATTCCTTTCGATCGTATTCTTTCTTTTTTCGCAAAACCCGAAATTTAAATCAGCTGCATTTGCATGCGCGTTTCAAATGACTTGATCACATTCTAAATGTTGGAACACGCTGCATGTACAGAACTGACAAAGTCCCTTCATCGTAAACGAAGCTCTGACATCGTATGTGGTAGGAGTATAGATGTCCATGTAGTTATTGTTATCGATTCGACCTACTCCTAAGACCAGACTAAAGCCGACCTGTTCTGATGTATTCATCATGCTCAGCATAATTTCCCATCCTCTCGCTTGAACCACCCTCGAATAGCTTTCGATGCGCGTTCGTCCCTCATTTGCAACGTGACCAAATATTAATGGAAACCAATCTACAATCGCTCGATCTCTCCCGCCTGAGATCGCCAGACTATTTTGTCTTGCTACGACGTAACCATATAATTTTACAGCATGTAAGAAAATTTTATTCTGCCGCTACCGTTAACGAATCCGAAGCATTAACGTTATTATGTTGTTTACAGGCTCGCGTCGTGCGCAGTTATCGACATCTCGCATCTCCGCAAGAGGAACGACGTTCTTCAAAAAAATTTACGGTGGAAGCGAAAGACGGGTCAGCAACTTTAAAATATCTCCGACACGTACTATTTTAAGAATTTGAACGGAAACTTCGACTGTGACACACACACTATTTCGTAGATCCCCTTCTTCGGTTCTTCCTGTTGAAAATTTTTGCAAGATTGCTACATGAGACAGAGATTTGGTATTTTTGAGTCGTGCTCACGGAGACGCGACATATACGCAGAGAGAACGATTTAGTTGAATCTAACAAATGCTTATTTGGAATAGTCGAAATAAATTTTTTGATTGATCGAACAAAATTTTGTTTGACGCAACAAAAACATTTCGTTGGAACTAAGCTGCAACCAAATATTTCTGTTGCGTCAAACGAAACTTCGTTCGATCAAACAAAAAATTTATTTCGACTATTCCAAATAAGCATTTGTTAAATTCAACTAAATCGTTCTCTCTGTGTACCTATATATATCGTTATATATCTTGATCTGATAAGCTATAGTCGCTCTAAGCACCTCATCTTCGTCAAGATTATATAAAATGGCAGCAAAGTTTCCCACCGAGAGAGAACATACAACGGGTAAGATAGAAACTGTCATGGCTATAATCAACATGATAACTGAAGATGGGCTGGCGACAATGTCGAGAAAGCAGGTCGCGCGTAGGTAGGTAGGTAGGTAGGTAGGTAGGTAGGTAGGTAGGTAGGTAGGTAGGTAGGTAGGTAGGTAGGTAGGTAGGTAGGTAGGTAGGTAGGTAGGTAGGTAGGTAGGTAGGTAGGCAGGTAGATAGGTAGGTAGGTAGGTGGGTAGGTAGGTAGGTGGGTAGGCAGGCAGGCAGGCAGGCAGGCAGGCAGGCAGGCAGGCAGGCAGGCAGACAGGCAGACAGAGTACGGACAGTGCGCCGCAGACTTCATAGCGGGCTAGTTTGTTGTTGTTTGTTGTTGTTGTTCGCGTTGTTTCTGGTGACGGTACCGAACCACGACACAATACCGAGAGCGTGACGCCGGTATTGATAACGCTCTCTGATGAAGAGGAAGAGATGCCGGGAATAGCGGGTGATTGAAGATACATACTACCCCATTTTCGCGACGAGCAACTTGCACTTAGAGGATCGCATTGGAAACGCGACAACCGTTTCCAGGCTGCAGCAGCGTGTCAATACGCGTATGCGAGGCCGCTCACACGGGTGCATCGTGAGAATTTATTGCAACGGTTAATGCAGAAGCGTGATTCTTGAGCTTCCCGGCGGCTTTGTCAATTAATCTCCAAGTCGCGAGATGTGACGTGTGAGGAGAAGTGCGCTCGAGCGCTTCTTTCTTTCACCCCGCCGATAAGCAATGAGGGAGACGGAGACGGGAGTGAGACTCCTCGATCGCACATACCAGCGAAATCTATTTCTTCTTTCTCACTTTCTCCTTCTTCGCCGATATATGAAGACACTCAGATACATGATATGAAGAATACAGAAAGATACATGTCAGATTTGTTTGACGCACCGTGTGCGTTATTGGTAGGAATTTGGCGTCGGTAAAAATTATTGACATATTCGCCGACATACGCGTCGAACTGTCCTAATTTTGAGCTCGCTTTCGTGCCCGGGCGGAACTCCAGAACCAACAGAGAGCGAGTGCGAGAGTGCGGGAGAAAGCGAGAGGGAGAATCGAATATGAAAAAAATGATATCTGGTTTAATAAACAGCGTATCGGGTCGGACTTTGTGCGCCGGGAAATTGTCGGTGTCGATATTCGACGAGATATCGCACAAACACCGTCATCCTGATGAAAAGATTGTCAATAACCTCTAACACCTGTTGCGCAGTTTAGCGACGGATTTTATTCTCACGCGTGGGTTATATTCATTTATTGGTTCGCGGATTTGACGGGTCGCGTCGCGTCGCGTCGCATCGCGGCACGGCGCGGCACGGTGCGGTGCGGCGCGGCGCGACGCGGCGCGGCGCAGCGCGGCGCGGCGCGGCACGGCGCGGTGTGGCGCGGCGAGGCGAGGCAAGGCGAGGCGAGGCGAGGCGAGGCGAGGCGAGGCGAGGCGAGGCGAGGCGAGGCGAGGCGAGGCAAGGCGAGGCGAGGCAAGGCGAGGCGCGGCGCGGCGCGGCGCGGTACGCGTCGATACACGAATGACGCGAAAGCCTCTAACGCAGAGCGGCTGCCGCGTGGTAATAAAATCATATTTCGTCAGAATTTTTTAATAAAATGCGTAAAATGTAGCGAACGTCCTGTAAAAGGCTGTAAACCAATTTTACGTGTATATCCTCCATCTCTCTTTATCTCTTTTTAGCGTGTGACGCGACCGACTCGTGGCTTTCCCCACGAGTGGATGACAATTCGGCGAACGACGAATTTTTGACGAGTTTATGAGTATGAAAGGGTGATTAATAATGGATATTTGTGGAATTATTGCCCTCGCTATGCTCTGCGTTTTAATATTGTAACGATTGCCTATTTACGCCTGAAATTGCTGTCATAGAGACTTGTTATTATTTCACCTGTCTATTTCTCGTTGTTTATTATTATCGGAAAAATAGATATCAGAGAATAGCTCGCGACAATTGTTTTTCAACATTAATCTAATTGTATCTTACGCAATCGTTAAAAAATACAAATGAAATGAAACGAAAAAGTGAAAAAAAAAAAAGAAAAAAAAAATACCTTTCTAAAATCGTAAATTAGCATTAATACAGATCGAGATGTATTGTTTACGATAATTTATTGACACGGTTTATTATTGCAGACTGTCCACGCGTCTAATTAATCGGGAGCCATGTGCGAATTGGGCGGAAGTTACGCTCGCGCGCATCGTCCAACACGGAAAGAGCGAAAAAGTTCGGAATGCCGTAACAGCAGACTCGTGTCGTCCCAGCCGTAGCATGGGAGATGCATTTCGTAGTGTTGTTGATTTTTGCATAATTTATCAAGGTTGTTTGGTTAAGCGAGCCGTTAGGGTGAATCGCAGGGGTTGCTGAGCTTGGGAGTTGCGCCACGGGGCGACAATTTCAGACACCCTTCGCCAAGATGATTAGCATCCACATCAGGGACGGACTTATCCCGCTGTGAAATATTTTTAAACGGTGCGTGCACAATTTATTAACCGAGCGGTAGCGGTGGAAAATCGCCGTCTATTTTGAAAGCTGCTCCGCGACAAGTCACCGGTCAAAATTGTACGTCGCGAAAAAAATGTGTGGCTTCTCTTAAAATACATCGCTTTCGAGAGCTATCGTGAGAAACTATCGGCCCGGTGAAAATTCTCCTCTTTCGTTAGGCTAGGTATAGAGCATCTTCCGTATGGCATTCGAAGAGTTTACGATATAGATAGATGCAGCTAGCGACACAAGCAACC